ATACGATCATCAGCTGCTTTATTTTCATTTTTCAAACGGGCCGCAGAATTATTTAACGACAATTATTTGACAATATTCAATTGTCCGTGTAAAATATATTCATACGCATAAATGCCGATACCGTTGGCCATTTTTCTTTTATTTCCAAAACAGGCTGTAAAATTATTTGGCAATATTGTCCATTCATCTCAATCCCTATTGTCTCGAGTAGTGTATAATGCGCGCAGAAATTGCGCCAGCGCACGCCGAGCTTGAGGTATCCTCGCTCGCGTGCCTTTAAATATCGTGACCGCGGTTATTAATATACACGTTTTTACCCGCGCTGCTAATAAAGAAAGCTTAAATTCTCATTTTGCCAAAGTATCGCGAACGTAAGCTTCGTCGTGATGGAACTATCATGCGTGAAACTTTGCCCCGCTCTCTCTCTTTGTTCTCCCTCGCGGTGACCGGTTTCTGATTGTCTAATCTTTCCTCACATGCATTCGCGAATATTTCACTCGTAGATATCGATACTCCCGCATTTTCGCGACTTTTCAGACGCGATCGCGCAAAAAGCGCCGTAAAAATCCGTTGGACGAGTCGATAAATTTTCACACGGTTCTTGCTCCTCGCCGATCGAGTTTATAGAGTCCGTTTCGCAACGCGTAAAAAGTTTCCACCGATGTCGACGTAAAACGTTCGTTAATTGACGCAAATATCGCCGCTCTAATACAAGTATCGACCGCGTCGCGGAAGTGTGGCGAAAGTGTAGCAATCAACGTAGGATGCGCAAGATGGATGCTGTGCGACATGGAGAGCGGCAGAGGACATAGGCGGACGTTGATGGATCTGATTGAGTATAACGGGACATCATCAATATCATCATCGGTGAGCGTTTGATTCAATGCTCGCAGAGAGCTCTTTTATTATTATATTGTGCATGCCGCAAATTTGCATTGACTTTTGTAACGAAAAATATATTCCATGAATTATTGCCATATATTATGGCCATATATTATTGCCATATATTGTTGCCATATATTGTTGCCATATATTGTTGGCATATATTGTTGCCACATATTGCCATTATCGCTACATATTGCCGTATATTATCGCCATATATTATGACTACTTGAAATCGCGCAAGCAATCGAGAAAATTGTGAATTTGCCGATAATCGCAAAGGCGCGCGGCAGATGTCACGGACGGATGACAGCAGCCTGTCTCAGGGCTGACCGATAACAATGCTGTTGCTGCAATTTAGCTTTAAACCACAGCGGCCTCCGGTCGCAGGAAACTTTCTATCGCGGACTAACCTCTCGAGCGGAATGTTCCCGAGAAGTGCTCTTGACATAAACGCTAGTTATAAGTGTACTTGCCTCGTTAGGGCCTCGTCGTGATATCGTTGTCACGGAAAATAAGGAAAAAAGGAGTTAAACATCCGCACCGTTGTAAAAAGAGGGGCAATGACGTCCCTTCGCGAGAAGAATGTTAGGCCCTTGTGAACGCGAGCGTTAAATTCCACTGCGGCTGCGAACATCCCCCGACTAGTTTCTTCGCGAAAACTGAATCTTCATAACTCGCGCTTGATCGTGCGTTGAGGCTCTATCGAGAGTGGAAGATTGAAGCGAACGTTGATAATATAAATGTGACAAAGTAGTCGCGCATTTTATGATCGCTTTTTAAAATGGGCGCTTCTTTCTTTGGTGATAAAGACGAGAAGAAATCAAAGCCTGCTGTCGATGGTTGCAAAAACCGTATGGATTTTCCTTCCGCAGCTGCTCCCGCGGCTGTTTAATTCGCATTACGATCATTTTTGTGAATAAGTATGGGGAAAGTGACATCCGCGGATAACCTTTGCCCTCTGAACGATACGTCTCGTAAAATTTTCCAGCTCTTTTACGCAAGTTCGTCGCTCGTGCTTGATGAAAAATGTCCCGAGACGTACCTATGAAAAATGTTGTACATGGAGAACACTCAGCTCACATACCATCTTGAAATGAAATACCGCGAAGGAAACTATTCTCGTTCCAACTTGCGCTTTACAAGTTTCGGGGTCCATGAAAATTTCAAGATCAGATACTGCTTGTTTGAGGGAGGTTTTTAGACATTCTCTGTGAGAACCTGAAGAGCGAGTATTAATTTTTTTTTAAAGATTCGAGATGCAAATCCAAATGTGTTATTTATACACATACGAGCGTGCGATTGGCTGAGGCTTTTCTTGGGGATGAGTTTTGTTGTTTAAAATCTCTCGCAAGAATCGTGTGAAGAAAGCTTGAGCTAATTACACGCTCACGCGTGTGAAAACAACACACTCGAATTTGCAGCGACGACAGCGGGGATATTTAGCGAGTACTACCTTGAAATTTCCGATTAAATTATATTTCTCGTCAGCCATCGTTTTATCGCCTAGCCCCGTCTCTTTCACTCGGCTGCCTCACCAGTTGCTCGAGCCAAGAGCGGCCCACATGATCTAACGACAGTTGCCAGCGTGCAAGAAGAAGAAGAAGAAGAATAAGAAGAAGGACAAGCCGCCGTTACTCGTGTTTTACTTCGTCAGCGGCTTGTCCTTCTTCTTCTTCTTGCACGCTGGAAACTGTCGTTAGATCATGTGGGCCGCGCTTGGCTCGAGCAGCTTCATTGCTTTTTCGATACCATCTTGGTGCGTGCTCATTCGTTACATTTCTATAATTAATAGCTCGGTTATTGCGTACATCGTAAAATGGTATGGGAATTTTATATTTTTCTTAATTCGTTCTGTCTTCGTGAATTCCTAGGAGCGAGGAATTTGTGAAATACTCTGTATATATGTTTATGATTGCAATTTTAATATTATTTCAACTTCGGAATTATTAACTTAAGGAATGCCAACATGTGTATATATTTATAAAATAAATATTCTAAATTTTCTCACGTCTCGCAATCCTAAGAGACATACACACATTACTACTTACATCTTACTGCTTACGTTCATTTGTATGTGATGGCCTTTAAGCGGGAAGCATATACTCTTACATAAAGGCATAATGCACAACGCATAAGGAAATAAACCAATCGGAATCCTCATTTCTATTGCCACGCTTGAAATGAAAGACTCTGATTGGTCCATTTCCTTATACGTTGTGCATTATGCTTTTATGTAAGAATGTGTGCTTCCCGCTTTAGCATACCAAAGAAATTTCACTGTGCACTAGCGCCCTCTTAGGAATATCGTGGCCGAAATATGAAACACAGTTCGAAATAAGCATGGATGTTAATAGATATGGAATAATGGGAAAAAGATATCGGAAGATATCAAAGACTATTGATACAGAAAACAGGCCGCATATTTATGCCTGAAAAATAAGAAATTATGTTAACAAATAGCACGAACAATATCATTAAAACGCAAAATGATAGTAAACGTTACTTTATTTAATTTGGTATCCGTATTTGCATCATAAATTTCATCCTCTCCATTTCCTTCTTCCTCTTCCATGTCCATGTCTGTATGTCCCAAAAATTCAAAATTCGCTATAACAGCTGCTTCTGTATCTAATATCATTGCTTCTGCTATAGAAGATGGCTGTTGCTAAGATAATAAATCACATATAAACGTATAACAGAATCGTAGCTATCGTAATTCTCTTAATTAAGTTCGTATTGTTTTGAAAACATAAACATGTTTATTTATCTCTACCTTTTTCGGATGTCCCCCGGAATATGAGACTTACATCAGATGATTTTTGTCTGTTCTGTGTTCCCTCATTTCCATTTAATGTTGGAGTATTCATTTTATCTGAGTCTGTATTATTATAATATGTCCCACCGCGTATATTTCATTTCTCGCCTTTCGTTGTGAGTCACTGCGCAGGCGTGCTCCGTAGGCGGAGCAATGACTCTCATTGGTCGCGTTCAGTAGACTCAACAGTTGGACAACATTACTAAATTTTCCACCGAATCTCGCTCCTGATTGGTAAATACTTCTGGGTCTATGAAGAATCTAAAAGAATGCTCCAATCACAGACAATAATCACTAAGCGCTCTCTGATCACTTTGTTCTACTGAACGCGGCCATTCTTTTCGAGTCGGGATGCGTTCCGAAAGTTGCAAAAAAACGGGCACACATTATTATGTCCGCGACCGTACATATTTTGAAACATTTTTTTTGGATATTATATCCAACGGATTTTGCGTGTAACGTAATATCCTTCGGACTATACGAACATTATTATTTTGATCATTTTGATTTCTTTGATATTCATTAAGAATTATCCAGAACGCAACTGCTATGTTGAACGACTCAATTGTCGTGTAAAATATTTCAATTTTCACAAATTCATATAAAATTTTTCATTTTTCATTAATTCACAGAAGTCTTTTATTTTTCACTAGTTGACGCTAGGGAAAAGATTCATGATCGCTGCCCTGAGCAGCTGTAACGCTTCTCCAATCATCTATGTCGGCGCGCTCTTACTCCTCAGATTTCTGTCATTAATAACTCGATAATTATTGCGAATCTCGCAAAACGGACTTTTATGTTCGCCTCAATCCAATCTACCCTCACACTTCGGATTGGCAGCTAATTACCGGACACTTCGTATCTTCGTGATATAAAGCCAGCGGCACACGATGCTTGTTTTCGTGCTGGATTGCTTGCTGGATGAAAATACTGCGTTCTGATTGGTGCATTTTCATCCATCTTCGAAAATATACCAATCACAACGCAGTATTTTCATCCAGCAAGCAATCCAGCACGAAAACAAGCACCGTGTGCCGCTGGCTTTAATCATACACAATGTCAATTCTTGTTCTTTTTGCACATATTAACATGTTAATTCATGTTATAAACATGTAACAATGTGTGAGGTCGTGCTTGCCAAGTACGCTTATGGTTATAGCACGAACATAAACCGCCTGAAAGTGGATGTAGCACGGATTGCCACCATGCAGGTTTTACCGTCGAAACCTGAAAGTGGATGTAGCATCGTAGTTCCCCTCTCAAAATGGATGCAGATGGCATCCTTTCCTAGTGTGGAAAGTCAGTGTCGCTGAAAACGGCGTAGACCATAAGTTCTGTATTAATGGAATGATAGGTTTCCTAACCTAAATTACCGTCAATTTTAATTAATATCTCGCTCCGCAAAGCAAAACGACGATTTTTTCAAAGGAAAGTTATTTGTCTTGCAAAAACGCGTCGATTAAGTATTTCTTCGTCGTTATTGGAGGTGAGACGGGTATTCTGTATAATTACCACATTATCTTATACTATATAAAATATAATGAAATATGGAATATATATATGAATTTGATTCATTCAGGAAAAATTTAAAATAATTAAATAGAAGACAATTGAACAAGAAAAATTTTTTTAATTTTGATAGTCTAATACTAAAGTATAATTTATTATTGTATAATTTTTCTTTAAAATTTACTGTTGTTTAAGATGTAATGTTTTTCCAGACGCATCACATCATCAGCACATTGCAATTAACACAGTATTAAGATAAAGGTTCGTAATACCTCAATAAAAGGTTTGAATATTTTCAAAGGTTATTATTATTTCTTATTTTGACTTTGAATTTGATTTTGTGATCTTGACTGATTGATTCTGATTAAAAATTGTAGAAAAGAAGAAAAATATTACATGAAAGTATTTCTTAAACATAGTTTCTGTACTAACGCATGTTACTGAAAGTGGTACTATTGATTAGCATATATTTGCTTTCTAATATTGCTAATATATTTTATGGTTTAGACTGAATATTTAACAAGATCATGAGTTTATATATTTGACTGAAACCTATTGTCTTTGTTGAAATCAGTCTGATCATACTCATTGCCTCTGTTGAAATCTATCTGAACATATGTATTTTTATTTGATAATTGAAATATTATTGTTTTCTATGTCTTTTTTTTAAAGTTGTTTTGTTATTATCATTAATAAAATAAATAATTCCTTTCCTTTCAATACTGGTTTTAATTAATCCCATCTTAAATTGTTCTATCTTTTACATATTTTCAGGATAAGTTAAAGATAGTTATATAGGTAATTTTATTTTATTTTTATCTCTTATTATGTTGAAAATTTTTATCGAAATTCTGTGTTTTAAGTTTAAAATTTACATGGTATATATTTTATTTGATAACTCAGTATTGCAAAGAACAAATAAATGTAAAATATGCTTGATTGATATGCCAAGTTTTTAACTAATTAACATAACATAGTGCATGTGCATCTAAACATCTTACAAATATCCAGATAAAGCTGTGGCAGAAGGATAACGAGAACGCAATAGCTGACCCTGTTCTTTATCTATGTACAAAGTCTTTTGTTTTACTATTATCTCATGTTCCAGAATATTCCTTGTTTTAATTAGTTCTGTTTGAGATTCCTCGGCACATTTTAACTCTGCTAACACAGCAGAGATACGTTCGCCGAGAGATTTTACTTCTTCGATGAGCCTAAATAAGACAATTTTATCTGTTTTTCGCAACTCACGTTTGTTAGCCATGTGTGCTTGTTAAGATTATTCTTATAATATAAATGACTATAGTTAATTTTTGTTCGGTGACGTACGTTAATTGAGGCATATCTCGACAATTCTCAACATTGGGTCGAAACAATCTATTGTCCAATCTTGTCTGTGCTAATTTCATGGCATTGTTCAATCCTTTTGTCGAATCCCGGAGTTCTTCAATCAATTTTTCTGTATTTGTTAGTTCCTGCAAACACTGCAAACGGATATATGTTTTGTAGATTTAGTCCTAGTCATGTCTTGTATACACATTTTGCATTAATTTAACAAATCTTACGCGAAGTAATTCGATCTGTAATTGACGAAGAACATCTTGTGTAAGTTTCACTTTTTCCTCGAGTACAATGTCAACGCGAGTAGCTTGATCTCGCAGATCTTTAATCGAATGGATATACATTTCATTTAAAGTTGACCTTAGGTTAACTGATTTCTGTCGGGCAGTCTCGCTGGCATTTAATACTTCTTGCGTAAAGTGCTCGTAGCTTGTAGGTGTTGATTGTCTGAATGCGAAATAAAACTATTTGAAAAAAATATCTATAACATGAACATCGACTGTATGATCGCAAAAAATAATATAATATTATTCCGAAACGGAAATAATTAATTATACCGATCGATCTATCTATCGATTCCTACCGTTAATTTTGATCTTATGTCGTCAATGTCATTTTTTATAGCATATCCTTGTCACTTTCATACATATAACATGAGATAAAGCAAAAACAACTCACATAGCAGGAATTCTTGTAGATCCGGCTCTCCACATTATCTGTGAAGAATCGTTTGATGAATTCACCGAAACAGATTCTATATCGTAAGCACATATTTTGTCAGACCAATCGTTCTCCAATCGTGCTTTGACAGTCTTCAGTTCAACCATCTGCAATTTGATTTGCTCGAGAATTCCGTTTAGCAAATCTCGTATCTCAGCACAAAGCGCTATTTCCTAGAGTACATACTGTTTTAAAAAGGAATAAGGAAATAGTAAATGGTATTAATTAATTATAATTCAACCTTGACGAGTTGTTCTTCTACATCGTCACGGACAAGATCCGACTCCAGGCGAGAACATCGTAATTGCAGAAACTCGCCTGCGATAGATGTAGGTATAGTCAGTACTGATAAAGATTGATGTACACGACGACGTTCAGCTTCTACCAATCTTATCTCTTCAGTAATGGCAGAGATCGCATGCTCTAATTCTGTTTTATGACGGTACACCAATTTAGCACGTGTTTTCAAATGATCTGTTGCCTTTAGTTGCGCTTTGTCAACAGCTTTGTAAGATTGCTCCACGCATTGTCTTGCGCAGTTGGCTGTGATTCTGAAGATTGTTCGAAGAAAATTAATTTTCATTTTATTGGGAATTTGTTGTACGACATTCTTATTGCATCACCTACTGAGCATCGGAGATCTTCTCGTTTGATTGTTGCAAAATATTCAAATTGTGCGTCCGCCATTCGCTGGGTCCAAAGAGAACTATGGAATATTGATTTGTAACAGGCCTCAATCCTGTAATCCCATTTTTAAGGGAACAAGTTACTTTGCCAGGAGCCAATGAATCATTCGATACTATTGTATGGTCGGACTTTGACGAACATTCATTCTCAGCTTGAGAAAAGCAAAAAGGTTCCTTTGCGTCACCATCTTTTTGTTCCAGTCCAAGACACGGTTGCGTTTTCTGTGTTGAAATTTATCACGAATGAGGAATGTGTATATAATAATACAATGAATAAGTTTAACTTAAGTTTTAATTAACTTTTGCAAATATGCATGCACAAACGTGTTATTAATAAATTGTTTATTAAGCATGTGATAATGTGCGACATATTTTATGAATCACAGTAAGTAACTTAATATTCTTAAAGTTATAAAAAGGAAATTATATGAAACATATGAAGCTTTAAAAAGATATGGCGTAACATTTTTACGAATAATAATAATTAAAAATAACATGAGAAGCTTACCTCGATTACTTGTCGCGTAATATGTAGCGAATTAGTCAAGTAATCATGTTGACTCGCATTATCGGACATCTCCTGCTATAAATATTTACAATAAAAAGATAAGGAAAAAGCACGTTGCAATATGAATGTACTGCTATCAATATTTCACAATTTAAATAATATATCAAACATTCACACGTTTAAAAATATACAGTTGAGCAACATATTTGCACATGATAGCAGCATGCACATTTTCTCAATTTAAGCGATGTTGTCTGAACGTACGCTTAGGAAACCACATTTATCGATTTAATACGCGGCGTGGACAAATAGCGCTGTATTTCTTGAAGAATGGAATGGTATCATTGAGTTAACCAATTTCATTTTTTTTCCGTCAGAAGTAACCACCAATGTAAAAAAACGCAAGTGACTAACTTCATATAAAATATTTATACAGAGTGATCCAAAATTCCTGCATTCAGAGTACAGGACATGATACTTTACGCTAAAATAAATAACTTTTTCCTTTAGCAAAATTGCGTCCAACAAGTAGTTTTTGCAGGAGAACGTGTTAAAGTTAATGAATAAACGCTTTTGTAGCGCTCAGGGTCGGCGCATGCACCTCACTCGCGTGTAGGGTGACCATATGTACTCTTTTTAAGATGGTGAAAAGAGTACTCTCTACTTTTTACGTATCGTACTCTTGTATATACTCTTTTTTTCGTAATGTTAATTATACTTTGTCGATAATGACCAGAGAGCAAGACTTCGGTGATGTTATTATCACTCACAGCATTTGAGCGCCGCGAGCGCTAATACCGATTATGCGTAGAGGTTCTGCACAACTATCGAGCCACAATGCAAACGTAGAAAGAGTTTTCAGTATGATGAACGCTCAATGGACTGATGGAAGAAATAGATTTACTGTTGATTCGGTAAAAAGTTTATTAATGGTTAAATACAATTATAAAGAATTTAATTGTTCTGAATTTTACGATTATTGTCTAAATAATAAGAAATTGTTAAGCGATATACGGAGTAGTGCAAAATATAATTATAAATTATCTTAATATAATAAAATATATGTGTTCGACTAATATTTCTCGGTTTTATTAGTACCCACTATATTTTATTTTAAATATTATACCTAGTAATCCATCGATCATTGTCCCAGATAAGACACAAAATCATTTTGACGTCAAAATGACATAATTTTTATATTACTTGACGTCACCTTGACTTTTATGTTCTACCTGATTTTATGTTCTACTTACTATACCCTTTTGGAACCGTAATTAGTGCTCTTTTCTTTACTCGTCTTTTACTCTTTTATTATGACTGAGATATGATCACTCTACTCGCGTGTATTTAGTTAGTAACTTTCATAAGTAATGTCTTTTAAGACGCTCATACGGTTTTGTTGTGATTAGTTTACAACTTAAAACTGTACTTCTTAAGATAATCTTAAATAATAATCTTAAATAATAAGAATTATGAATAATACAATTATGAATAATATCAGGATTTGACCTTCTTCCGTATTATATTGCTTAAATAATAAAACGTTAATAAAATAAGTACTGCCTTTATTTTTTACGTTATAAATGAATAAAAAATGGTCTGATTGCACATCATCTGAAAATAAAAACAAATGTAAATAGTAATATGCTTTGCGAATTATGAAATCCCGGTGTTGTTTATAGTTGATTCTTATTATTTAAGATTGTCTTAAATATAGTCTTAAGATGTCGTAAACTAATCACAACAGAGCCGTATGAGCGTCTTAAAAGACATTATTTATAAATATTAGTCACTGACTAGGTACACACGAGTGAGGCGCGTGTGCCGGCCTTGAGCGCAACATAAAGCGCTACAAGAGCGCTTATTTATTAACTTTAACACATTGTTGCCCGGTCACGAGTTAACTCGTGTTGACATGCCTAAACGTTGCTGACTTGCTGGCCACGAGTAAAATCGTGATCGAAGAGCTTTTGTTTCACGTCAGCGTCGGAGAGCGTTCTCGGAGAGCATAGAGTGGAGTTGTTGTTCAGCATACCGTAAGCTTCTTTAGCTAATATTTTCTTTAACTAATATTTAGCTAATAAAACTTTTTGTTGTGTCCCCTTTGCTATAAAAAAATCCAACTAGAACGTGTAGAGTATGTTCTTCAAAAGGAAAATGCAGCGAAACAAGATATAATCTATTGTGTACCATTACACGTAGGTGATTGTTACACCGTTTATTATACCAAAAAGAAATATTAAAAGTTAAATATTAAACAAAATTTGTTTATAATAAATAATTATAAAAAGGTTTCTTTATATTGATTCACTTCCACATCCAATTATGAAATAATCGCCGGTGACATGAGATAAATTCTGAGAAAAATTGCCGGTCAACTATGTGTTAACATATTCTCCTGCAAAAACTACTTATCGGACGCAATTTTTCTAAAGGAAAAAGTTGTTTATTTTAGCGTAAAGTATCATGTCCTGTACGCCGAATGTGGGAATTTCGGATTACCCTGTATATTTAGCAATATATCACATTTGCAAATATCTTGTAATAACGTTGTGTACTCTCTCTATTTTACTCTACTTTATTCTATTTTATTCTAGTTTATTCTTACTATAGATTCCGGTAAAAATAGTGTTGCATTTACAAAAAGAACAGCTTTAAATAAAACATTAAACTTTAAATGTTTATATACTTTATTTTATTTAAATTAATACGTACGTCAATATATTTTTTTTATATCGAGATTGAGACCGAATTGAATAATCTTATTATATTAGTTAACACAAGATTTTCTACGAAGAATTGTGGAACTTGGTAATCTAAAAGTTTTTCATCTTTTATTTTCTAATCAACAATAAGATTAAATTAACTTAGATTAGATTAATGTTTGTAAGCTCTATGAACGTTCAAAACATTGTGAACTATACATCTGTTGTTGTATATGATTGTCAAATGCTATTGGTACATTGTATTTATTATTTTACTGTTATTTCATGTACGTATGGATAATTGTGTTTAAAGAAATTCAAAGCGTTATATATAACATTGAAGAGGTATTTAAATTGCGGAAATGACGCTCATAATACTAATTATAGTGTTATTCGTGACAATATAAGGCTAAAGAAGAGCCTATTACTGTTCATAAGCCTTGCCATAGAGTTGCCATTATCGCGTTATTGCTTGACGAGTAGTTACAGATAGCGTTTGCGTTGATAGCGCTGATAGTATTTCGCCGAATGCAAGCGTGATGGTTACGAGATATAGACGAAACAAAAGAATACAATAGAGAAAGTTCGTGAAAGACCAAATATCATTTACATTCGTATCATTTACGTTCAGTTTATCTATATTAATAATACTTACAATTAATCGCTATATTGGATTAAAGTTTGAAATGTTTTTATGTTATTAATTATGTTATTAATATTATTGTGCTAATATTTATTCGAAATCATGTTATAATTTTTCTTGTGTTGAAGCACTTTTTAATTGCATACGCAGAAAAATTCGCGGAGAGTGATACAGACGTCTGTCCTGGGACTAAATATAAATCACAACGATACGACTAGCGACGAAGTGCAGTCAAATAGGCTCAGCCAGATTGAGTCACTTACTCGTTGACCGTTGCAGGAGGAAGACGTTCTCTTGTTGGACAGATAAGATGGCAAAGGAAACGAAAATTAAATATACTCAAGTAAGTCAAAAATACTTAACATTTCGTTGAGATTTCGAATATTTTTCTCGTTTATTGAGCGAGCGTTTTTTTTTTTCAATTAAATATATAAAATATTTATTTTTAGCTTTTCATCAATAATGAATTCGTGGATTCTGTGAGCGGCCGTAAATTTGCCACTATTAATCCTGCTAATGGCAAAATTATAGCCGAAATTTCAGAAGGAGATAAGGTAAAATCGTTCGAATAATCGTTATATAACGGTGTAAGTGCAAGAATCAAATGTTAATTAACCAGCAGTAATAAATGTCAGATAGTATTGTTTCGATATTATTGTCAAAATCATCTTATTTAATTTTCTGATTACGCGCACAAAATTAAGAAGCAACTTTTTTCATAACGATCTTGTGAACGTAGAATTGACTAGGAGTAAGTTCAGTCGCGCATATTGACAATAACATAAAAGAGAATTAATTTAAACGTAAAGTAAATTATAGCTTTTTGCGAGAATAAATTTTTCTTTTCAGGCTGACATAGATAAGGCAGTAGAAGCTGCTAAACGGGCGTTTGATAGAAAGTCAGAATGGCGCAAAATGAGTGCGTACGATCGTGGACAGCTTATGCACAAGGTAGAATTTAATTTTAATAAATCGTTTCGTTGCTAACACAAAAACCGACTATTTATTAAATACGATTAAAATAGTTCGCAGATCTTATCGAACGTGATTTAGATTATATCGCTACACTCGAAACTCTTGATAACGGAAAGACGTATGCAAACGCCGTCGGTGATATACAAGCAAGTATCGCCTTTCTTCGTTATTATGCGGGCTGGTGTGATAAGATAGTTGGAACTACTATACCGACAGGTATTCTTCTTCAAAATTATTGTCGGTTATAATTAGTATATTTTTATTATAATGGATGTAATATTAATTCTTTTATTATGCATTGTTATTATATAATTATTATAGTACATGGCAATAAGCATCCTCATTTATTGATTGACTAGGTGACGCCAATTTTACATTGACTCGGAAAGAGCCGATCGGCGTTGTAGGGCAAATTATTCCTTGGAATTATCCCTTCATGATGTTATCTTGGAAATGGGGTCCTGCATTAGCTACTGGATGTACCATGGTATTGAAACCAGCGGAGCAAACACCCTTGACCGCACTTTATGCGGCCGCTCTTGCGAAGGAGGCAGGAATACCAGCGGGTGTCGTAAATGTCATTCCAGGTTACGGTCCAACTGCTGGTGCAGCTATTGCTGAACACCCAGACATTCGTAAAGTCGCTTTCACCGGATCTACCGAGGTGCTTGTATAAATATATATGTTACCATATAACGTGCTGCGTAAATGCGATGTGTGGTAATGGAGATTTGGTTTCTTCCAGGTCGGACATATCATAATGGAAGCCTCTGGTAAAAGCAACCTGAAGCGTGTTAGCCTTGAATTAGGTGGCAAAAGTCCACTCGTTATCTTCGACGATGTTGATGGTATGTTGTGTCGTATATCAGCTATTATTATATAACTGTATGCTGACTGATTACACGTCTTTATCATCTGCAAAAAAAGTGAAATGTTTTAAATATAATTCATATTTGTCCTTTGTATGGATCAAGTTAAAATTAAATAAAAATAATTGATAAACATAAGTAAAAATAATTAAATAAAAATAAACTCAAATAAAAATTAAAAAATTCAAATAAAATATTAAATTAAAAAGTAATGTAATTCAAATATGTTCTTAATATGTATCCAAGTTAAATTTTGATATTTAATATGCATCTAACCAAAACTGAATCCACATTTGATTTTATATTTGGAACAAATGAGATTTTAATTAAGACATTTAGTTTTTATTTGAGTTTAACTTTTATGGTCCATGAAAGACAAATATGATGCCATATTTAAAATATATTTAACATGTTTTTTCACGGATATATACGTTGTTCAAAGATTAATTACATTATATTTATTTACATTAATTACATTATATTTATATTTAATCATATTATTAATACTTTTAGTAAAAGAAGCGGCAAAAATCGCGTATGGCGCAATATTTAACAATCATGGACAAAATTGTTGCGCGGGATCGCGTACATTCGTGCATTCGAAGATATATGACGAGTTTGTTAAATATGCCAAGCAATTGGCACTCGATAGAAAAGTAGGAGACCCATTCGATCCTAAAATGGAACAAGGCCCACAAATCGATCAGGAGATGTTTGACAAAGTGATGGGCTTAATAAATTCGGGCAAACAGCAGGGTGCTGCTGTGGAAGCTGGCGGAGAACGCAAAGGCGATGTCGGTTTCTTTGTACAGCCCACAGTCTTCTCAAACGTAACTGACAATATGAGAATCGCCAAAGAAGAAATTTTCGGCCCTGTCCAATCGATTTTGAAATTCGACACTATAGATGAAGTGATTGAACGTGCGAACCGCACTAATTATGGTCTTGCTTCCGGCATAATTACTAAAGATATTAATAAAGCTTTGATATTCGCACAAGCTGTAGAAGCAGGCAGCGTTTGGTAAGTTAGATTACCTTTATGGAAAAAAAAATCTCAAATATTGAACGTTTACACTGAATTGTTCGAATTTATTCTCAAACGTGGATATATACACTCAAAACTCAACTTTGAGTACATCCATTTTTTAAAGTAAACTCGAACAATTGAGTATAAATATTCAAGTTGAGTGTTTTCTTCTATAAGGGTAACTTCGTGATATATATATATGTATATGTATATATATATATATATATATGTATATATAAATTTGATTTGACACTGATAATTTTTAGGGTGAATTCTTATGATGGTCTTACACCCCAAACACCATTTGGTGGATTTAAACAATCTGGCATGGGACGTGAATTGTAAGTAATAATAGAAAAACTAGATCAATTCAAATAATTGAAGTAATAATTAATATAAAACATAAACAATAAAAAATTTTAATTTTTAAAATTCTTTCTTTTTTTATTGGTTAAAATTATGTTACGAAATATGATCAGTTATAACTCAAAACTATGAAATTTCGGTTTGAAAAAATATTTAATAAAATTTTTCTTAAACTAACATTTTAAATAATTAAGATACTTCCAAATAACTCATCAGGTTATATTACTTATATTATTAAATTCACTATGTTTTTTTCTTTCAGGGGAGAAGAGGGCTTACATGAATATCTTGAAATTAAAACTATTAACATCAAGATCGCAAATGGAAACTAATATTAAAAAATGTATGATATCTACTATCCTAATTCCGTTTTTATTATGATTATTATTATTATATAATTTTATTCCTATGAAATTTTAATTTAGTACATAAAATAAACTACATACTACATATATCATATATACATATTCAGTTTAATCAATAAAATGTTGTAATTTTATTCTTGAATATATAAGAACAATATTTTTTTTCTCTATATATGCAGCACTATTTTATAAGATTTTATGCTGTATAATTCTCCTCATAATCATCTGGTGGTATACCTAATTCTTCGTCTGTCCATTTAGAAATATCTGGGTATGGAAATTCTCCCTGAACACAAAGGTTATATTTTCGCATTAATATTAAAATTACATAAAACTAATGACAAATATATATAAATATATATAATACACAATATATATATAAAATATACAAATATATATAAAATTACTGAATACTTACGATAATGTGACCATAATCATGCCAAAGATGCCACAATATCCACCACCACATAAGACCTCCAAAAGCTTCTGCTACATGTAACCAATTTTTTTCTACTGGTGGAATTACACGATATGACCATTTATGTCTAGTAATACAATAATAATATAAAAGTTAATTAATACATTATTAAAAGTATGAAAATAAATTAATCATAACAACTATATTTTTATATTAACCATCTAAGAACTATTAATAACATATTTTCTTATGAACAATTATACAATATGGAATCTAAAAACTATTCCCAAATAAGTACATATCAAATATAATTGTTTTTATATAAAGAAATTTGTGCTATAAAATAAAAAAAAAATATACATAACCTAATCTAATATAGAATTACATAACAATTTTACTTACTCATGACTTAATCTAGTGGATTGCAAGTTTGTTGCAGCAACTTTACTCTGACTGGTCTTATAGACAACTTTTAATAAGTTCAATCCTCGTGAAGGTAGCATTATCAAAATTGAGTTGTTATTCACTAACGACTGTCACTAAGCTGTAACTAGCTGTAATTTGGGCATCGATACACCAGATCACATCAGATAAGCTCAGTAGGTTAAGTTAGGTCCGCATTGATGTAATCAGCGAGCAACCTGAGAGAGGCTACCGGGCCAGTTAAACGTCTGGACGCTTTTTCCGACGCGCTCCCTGAGAAAATGTGTGCACACTATGTCCATCCTGACGGTAACGACAAAACGTGCACGGCTCTAGTTCACTCTACTTCTCTAACCATCTCATTATGAGCGCCAGATATACAGGGTGTATAAAAAATACCGGGACGGTGAAATATCACAAATATTGAGCATTTTAGAAAAAAATGTTCAAATAAAAATTGTAGGGTTTCAAAAGATCTATTTAATGACATTATGAGTTTGATCTTGGACGGCGTCGCCAAGATCAGGACAAGATCACCTTGAATTTTTTAAATGAGACCCCCTATTTTTTATTGCATATTCTTGTAGCCTTTCTGCAGATCTTTTCAAAGCACTATAACTTTTTCCACCTTGAGTAAGCCGTTTCGAAGTCGTTATCGAGCCTTTTATGATAAGATGTCCAGCCAACCAAGGCATGATCAAAGAAATATCCAGCCAGCCAAGGCAAGATCCTTACAAAAGCGTTTGAGAATAATGTTAATCTCTAAAAGAAAAAGTAAAGTTTAACGAATAAGCTAGGAAACAAAAAGATTTATCCAATAAACAGAAATTTGTATTAATTAGATAACAAAATAGATAATTCAATTAAAGAAAGAAAAATCATTCTTTTCCCTATAAAACAACGTATATCATGTATAAATGATGTGTTTTACTCTACTAATTTGACTTCAAGTCAAATTCATTGCAATTGATTTGAAATGATTTGAAGGTGAATTTTAGTGCTGTTATAAATTTAGTACATTAATATTATTTTAATATTACATGTGTCTGAAATACAAGTCACACACAGAAATTGCTCCAGCCGTTGGCTGGACATCTTATCATAAAAAGCTCGATAACTTCGAAACGGCTTACTCAAAGTGGAAAAAGTTATTATGCTTTGAAAAGGTCTGAAGAAGGGCTACAAGAATATGCAATAAAAAATAGGGGGTCCCATTTAAAAAATTCAAGGTGACCTTGCTTAAGCCTTGTCCTGACTTTGGCAACGCCACCCAAGATCAAACTCATAATATCAATAAATAGATCTTTTGAAATCCTACAATTTTTATTTGAAACATTTTTTCTAAAATGCTTAGTTTTTGTGATATTTCACCGTCCCACTACTTTTTATACACCCTGTATGTGTATGTTGCCCCGCTTGTAGTGTAAACGAATAAGTGATCCAACTTTTTACCACACGATTTAGTATTACCGACAGTATTGTAGTTAATGGAGTCGCATATAGATGTAGGACGCATTGTGTCGTTATCGGCAAGTTCAGATGGTTGACTTCTCGGCTGCTTAAACTAAGATTGAGTACGAAAAGATGTAGGTACTTAATGTAGTAATGCATTATAAAAGTGTAATATATAACGTTATTTCTTACTGCACTTTTATAATGCATTACTAGGTTAAGTATCTACATCTTTTCGTATTTGATATTAACTTAAACAGCTGAGAAGTCAACCATCTGAATTTGCCGATAATGACACGCGTGCAACATCTATATGCGGCTTCATTAACTATAATGCTGTTGGTAATGCTAAATCATATGGTAAAAAGTTGGATCACTTACTAGTTTACACTTTGTATATTCTCTTTTCAAAGTTATATACTGATCCCAGTATTTTTACTATTGCTTTTTTGGGACTAATCGATTGTTATTTTTTTTTAATGCGCAGCAATTTTTTTTACGGCTTTTACATTTTCGAAAATGATGATTTTGTTTTTTTTTAATTCGGAGGACATGAAATTTGTCAAATATAAGGCGAATTAATAAAATATGATAAAATTTGTAAGGTTTATTAGTTAGTATCGTTAGGTACTATATTTAGTATTTGATACTAAATAATATCATTAGATATTATATATAAACTCTTCGATGAAATTGTTGACCAGATCGTCAACAATTTCCGAGTAATAATGTATAGTCAGAGATCTGTAGTCAGTAACTTGATTAAGTTATTTTTCTTCGAGAAATTTTACGTATTTAGATTAAATTATATAATAAATAAAAATTTGTATACAAAATTGAACGAAATTTTGTATTATAATATGATAATTTATATATACACAACGAGAAATATTCATACAATATACCACGCAAAAATAAATACTGTCGAACTTACTCTGTGCTATTATGAATAATACTACTTAAATGGTTAATATAAAATAACCAGAATATGTAACACTTGGAACTCTTCTCTAAACCCATATATGTGTGTGATATATTTTCTCATCTTAAAATTAATTATATAATATAATTATAATATAGTTTGCAAAGAGTAAAGTTTTCTCATCAATAAATTATGTTTTTCTTCTTTTTCTAAACAGCCTGTTTAAGCGGTAAAGTCGTTAAAAATTACAAAGTAGTCCTTTCCATCTTATCCTGTTTTTACGAGATTAATTTACGATAACTTAACATTTGATGGAAGTCGTAGAAGAATATCAGCTGCGGAACGTTCGCCATTATCCGTAGCACGACCGAAAGTTGGGGAGCGAAGGGGTGCTCCCCCATATGTTAGGGGAGCATCGTAACTCGTTGCTATTGGTCGAACAAGCGCTTTTACAAGCTGCATCTAGGTATCTGGCCCCCGGTAGCAACCCTCCGCAGACTTACTCCGCATTGGCGTTGAAGTCATAACCCCCCGGTCGTACCTAATAATACGTTTTACAGAGGCCGCCGTCCAGTATCTTTCGCCGGCAAACTAGCTGTTAACCGTACGTACAGAACACTGATACAACTCAGAACAAGAAATTAACTCAGCAAATACATTATTTATTAAAAAAAAAATAAAATGAAATAGAACACACAAATCTAAACTAGTAAAACATTAATATTTTTTTCTCAATGAGATAATATTCTTATCTATCTCAGTGTGAGATAGTATTCTCATAATATTGTTTTATAATTCTTCGTTTATCAAATATTACAGAGTGTCACGCATTTTACATATTAATTTACTTTAGTTTAATACTTTTTCTTTCTATTTTCATAAGTATGCATTTCAGTTTATTCTGTTTGAAATATGGAAAAACAAATTAAATTTACAAGCGTTAGAACATAGATGATGACTTTATTTTACCTACGATATGTGTACACAAACGTTTAATATTAATATTATTTTATATTTTATATTTATTTATATTTTTATATTTATATTTTATATTATATTTATAACATTATATTTACATTCGTATATATATATATTTTTTTATATAAAATATGTATCTGTGACTTGATCGCATTAGGAGTTCGCGGTAATAATTCTACATTGGTGAGGCAACTTAAAAGAAAATGATAAATGTATGTTTTATTTATGTAAGAAAAATCCAAATCTTGTTTGACAGGAGTAATATTTATCATGTATTATAGTAGTTACCATGTAGAAGCAGTAAAATAATCATTTTTTTAAACATTTCATTTGATAAATAGAAATGAGCGGAATTTGAAATCGCTTCTAAATCTAACAGAGTTAGTCTTTCAATTTCCCAAACAGCACAAAATCTCCAGAGGACATTTTGAGGACGTCTTGGGGATGTTCTTAGGACGTAGAGACGTCCTCAGGTTGTCTTCGGGATGTCCTTTAAAGATCTGTGCTGTATGGGTTATGTTGATTAAAAAGTGTTTTACTCTGCCTTTTTTTATATACATATATGAGAATTTCTAACTATCTTATAAGTTTTGAATCATTTTCTCGCTGTATAAAAATAAGTTTATAAAAATTATTATACAATTTTTTTCTTAATTCCGCCACTGACTATGCAAGTGCATTTCAATGAAGCTCTAGCATTTACTAAATCAAGACTCAATAATCTTTCCAATTATTTCCATCATGTTAAGATATGAGTATGATATGATTATGATGTAATATGCTATAATATATTAAACTATCTAAACAATAATATGTTGAATAATCAATAATTATAACGTATTCCAGACACAACCCAGCGAGAAATGACTCGTCGATCGATGTTGAAACGATACCAAATTGATGAGTCGAAAAGTTCAAATCGACATCAATTCGACATCGTTTCGACGTCGATTGACGAGTCATTTCTCACTGGGAATGCGATTGTTTACAAAAGTTAATAAGTTTTGGCTTCATAAGCGTATGAACACTTAATGTAGGAATGCTTGATTGCAAGACGGTCCAATACAAGAAAATTTATTTTTTATTAATTCCCAGAGGTTAAATTCTTTTATTAGACTACTGATCATGTTCCAAACTGCATTTCCAAACTGCATCGCGAAGAAAAGTATTTAAATCGTATTGAAACTAAATATATAGCCCATATAGTATATTTATCAATTTGCCGAGTTTCAGAGTTGTCAATTCCAGAAGTGATAATTTTATGTTTGTCTTCATAATTTTACGATCAATTACAGAATACATCGAAAACAAATATATTGTGATTCTTCTATAGACGACTACACAAATTGATTACATTCACATATTTACAAACGGCATATATTTCGTAACTAGCAGCATGAACATTGGCGAAACGTGTGAACGCATCGTGCAGTTGTTAATTCATAATTTTAATATCATTGTTTCGGAACGCTGTTTACACCATCACGGTAACTTCTGTTCGGAGAGAGAAAAACTTATTGACGATCTGCGTTTACGATGCCGCGATACGGCGGTTTTCCGCATACGATTCCTGCAGATTAAGAAAAGAACGGGCTAAGTTTCACACTCTTTTACGACCATATAAACCGCATTGGATTGCAAATTCTCGAGCATGTAATAACCGTCTCATCGTCATCGTTGTCCCCATGACCAGGAGATGACATCCGTAGATTAGATAGACCGTTCGATGGGTAACGCAGGAAATATGTCTGCTCATATCTCTTCGTTATCTGGTAGCCACCCCTCTTTAGTTGACGTGGCGCGCACTCTGTTTTACTCTCTCACCCCTTCTTGGCGCAGG